GGGAAAGAACAATTTTATCACATATGCTGCATAGACTAACATACTAGGTAATATATATAGCCTATATGATATGACAGCCATGATATAGAGTTCTACAGTATAAAATCAAGAGAGTTATGAAGTCATACTGAAGTAGTTCTAGGAGCATCTTTATACCACACCATTTTTTATTCTGTAAATTCCAAGTACATGTTACAGAAGGACTGTCAGGAATGCTTTAAAGTTAATTTAAAATGTGAAGTTATTTCCAACTCTCCTGCCTACAGAAGCCAAATGTTTTAGTTATCAAACGTTCAACTATGTAAGGTTCACAGGGAACTGTAAAAACCTGTCATGTAAATTGTGTAAAGCTTTTCTACAGTACAAGTCTCAGGACTTTGCAGTCCATTACCTGAAACTGTGCCAGGGTTAGCAGCAAGAGCTATTTCCCACAGGAAAACTGAATTTTCCCTCCTTCCGATACTACAAAGCCGACATGACAATAGTGTGTAAAATCCTGATAGTTTGAGAGTTAGAAATACTGTTCGGTCACTGTTACATTTTGTTAATGTAAAATGTGTATTTATTGTATCTGTCAACAGCCTTACAGCATTTTGGTTTTTGTTTAAAAAAGTATATTTTTTACCTTTCAAATATTATAATCACCAATCTGGTCTTGGTTGAATTCTTCCCTCATGTCTCAGTACATGACTAAAGCATGAATCAATGTTTTTTTAAAAACACATCCTCTCTCCAGAAGACCTTAGACATTGCAGATCACAAGGCCAGGGGGGAGGCGGATAAAAGCAGGTTTTTTTTCCGACTCATGGACATCAGGTTGAAACTAGAAAAATGCTGTCAGAAGTCCTACTACCTACAGCAGCTGCCTTCAAGTCCCCTGTGCTGTAATACTACTAACTTGGGGCTCTCAGCTCTAACACAAGTGCTGATTAATACTTCAGCTTCCCCACTGCAAGTACTGTTTAACAAGTTAATAAAAATACTCTTCCCCATCTATGCTCATTACCTCCCCTTTTGGTTATTTTATATTGCATCAGTAGGAAATACAGACAGCAATAAAGAAAAATAAATTATACATAAAAGGTCGACAAAGCCTTTAAACACTACTAGAAGCACTGATATTTACCCCACAGTCAATCTTTACACATGCCTGGGCTACAAGAACAAGTTGCATCAATTGAGATACTGACCACGATGCTTCAGAAAGAAATAAAGCTGGTACCTAAATAGTAGTCTTTGAAGATCTATATACACAAGTGTAATTGTAGAGAGCTTCAGAAAAATCTTTTGCTATAAAATTCTCATTGCCCTTCCAGAACAGCTGTATCCAGCACACAGCTAGCACTCAGAGCAAAATTAACTGTTCCTATTAAGAAATGCAAGAAAAAAACAGGGCACCCCCCCTCAAAACATGCAGCAGCATGGCTACACTGACACTGTGGTAGAAGCTGCTGCAACACTTCTTGGACTCTAACACGCATTAATACAGAGGTCTCCATTGAAAATCTCTGAACTAGCATCATCCAATTAGCTCGGCGTCATCTTGTTACTGTTCCCTTTTATGCTCTGACAAAGGAAAAAACGCCTGAGCAGAACTCGGCCCATCTCTCTGTGTAGCTCTCCACAGTCAAACCCTGCTGTTTGCAGAAGAGATTAAGGAAGGAAGGGAGGGTGTCGTTCAGCAAAAAGACTGCTCCCAACTGACTTTATACAAAGAATTGTAATGAAAAGAATATTTTTCAAGCAGTGAAACTGTTTCTCCTTGTAAGGCATAATATATATAAGCTTCTGTGCAGCAGTAACTCCCTTCTGATGGAAGAGGATTTCTCACGAAGAAGGGCAGGCAGGGCTTGTTATGATCCAGCCTTTACAAGTGTTTGCAACCGCTGTGCTCCATTTTGATTTCATATCATTGGAGAAGGTGGAAGCTAAGGAATAAGGACAGATACACCAAGTGTCAGAAAACGTCTACTCCATCCAGCATCTGGGCTTCTCCACACTGGTCTTAAGGAGCATAGGACACTCTTTGCTGGGTAGAAAGGCAGATATAAAGTGCACAGCCTGAAAGAGGGTGGGGAAGGAAAAAAAAAAGTCCTGTATGTGCTGTCAGCACTGCTTTCCTTCAGGCTGAAAAAGCAAAAAAAGTCACCAGCAGCTCTGCTGTGATGAACAGTGTTTGTGTTTTGCAGCTCTCCTAACAACTGGAGAACTCTTCAGGCAGCTTGGCATGCTTTGCAGTCTGTCCTAGTTCATGCTTCTCCATGGGGAGAAAGAAGTGGAGCAAGATCCTACTCTCTTGGCCATTTTTCATCTACAATGGAATTTGAATTACTGAAATTAAGTTAATTATGTTTACCAAGTAATAGCCTAAAGCAGTTTGAAGAGTTATTATAGTGAAATACGACAGTTGCAGCAAGGTGTTCAGAGCCATTCTAGTCTGTGCTTGTTTTCCAGCCATACATGAGAAAACTGCATCTTGAACTTGCTTTACTGAGTTTTTTGATTCAAGAAAGTAATCTGGGAAAATGAAACATGGGACGATGGTCTGCTGGATGTCAGATCCAGGCTAGCTGTATCTGCTAGCCATTTATATATGAGCAGAAAGTGTAAGTAAAGTTCTCTATTTCAAACCTAATTTCTTGGAAAACAAGAAATCTGCCTTCATCTAACAAGCATCATATGTTGGAAAACTGTAGCATGAGTTGTTATGCCAGACAAACTTATTCCATGAATTGCAAAGACATAGCACAGTCAGCTACAACTCATGAGAAACCCAAGTATCAAGTCCTATCATTAGTAAAAAATCTGGTAATTTTTTTTAGAGACCATCAGTGTAATAGTGATTTTATAACGCTAACTTGGTCCTTAAATAGTGCTAAAGGAAAGCTGTGATCCCAGCTGAAAAGGAGAAACACAGCACCTGTCTGCTGACTCAATTATTAAAATTTTGTCTCTCATGAGAGAAGATATTTTTGGTTTATAGTGTGTGTATACATTTAAGCCAGATTCTCAAAAGCCGTAAAACATACAGGAGACTATAGTGTTCTATTCAGTATCTTTATTAGACTAACCCTTATGTTGTCAGGTTTACAATACAGGTAACTTCTCCTCTCCTGTAAAAACAAACAAAAAATGATACCTACCTACAGGTACAACGTAAAAATTAACATACAATAAATATTTTTAATAGTGATTTATATTCAAAAAAGGCAATCTCAACTATGTGATGAGTTCAGCTTTAAAATTTATAGTGGGTATACCCATAGAAAACAACTCCTTCTGTGAGGTTGGAACTGTGGGAAAACCAGATCACTTGATAAAACAAGAGAGTCTCAAACAGTTATCTGCTTTCCATGCCCCTACCATGTTCAGCTATTATAAAAACAAAGAGGAGGGTAAACGGAACATATTTTATACTGCTGACCAATTTAAACTTGCCTGTGCTCCTAAAAGCCATCATCATTGTCTAGAAGACACTGTCACCCCACACAAAGTTATGTTTTTATTGGTATGTCTACACTTTTTCTCCATTAGTTTCTATTCAAGAGCTATCCTGCAGTATAATCTTGCAGAACCTGCTGCTTTGGTGCATTATTTGGAAATTTGTCTAAGGTTTAAAAAGCCAGATTTAATCCATGTCAATCTTTTTATACCTCTACCATCCTACTTTAAATTCTCTCTATTCAGCCTTGATTTGCATTAAAGCTGAAGATATCCCCATTAAAGGAAAAAAGCTGGTGTATGTTTATAAGAATCACACGTAAGTACACACATCCTGACTAAACCAAGACCAGAATGTGTATTACTTATAAAAATGTTGATATGCAGGACTCAAAAAGAGGTAGAAATTGAAACAGAAGTATATTCTTAAAAGCCCCTCCCCCCAATAAGAAATAATAAACACTTTAACGTGATGTTTAACTAAAAAAGGATGTTGGACATTGAAAAAGATAATGCAAATTAATCAGAATAATTCAATAGCCCTAGATAGATTTTTATTAAATTCCTAAAGAAAGAAATTATTCCTAACAGACTGAACTCAAACTCCTTCAATATTCTTAAAACTACTTGTTTTCACAACAGCTAAGAGAGGTACTAACTATCCCAGCTTTCCGCTATATACTACTCCACAGCTGTGGTAGAGCATCTATCACAAATCCTATGTTTGAAACAGTTCAATACACATAAAGGACTGCCACCTTTATGAAAGCAGTTCATTGGAAAAGAAATTCCCCTTCACTGAAAACTGAAAGGACTGTAAGAAAGCAACTTACTTTTCTTGCAGAGTCAACTCAATCCATGGCAGGTAATAAAAGAAAGCTATTTCAAGAAAAAAAAAAAGTTTCCTTTTCTACAGGTAGTCTGTTACTATTCCATACATACCTTTGTTGCTAAAATCATCAATCAGCACAATTTCTGCCAAGTATTTCCTCGGTGTTCTCTTAATGACACTGTGGACTGTCCTCATGAGTGTGGACCATCCTTCATTATGGAAGACAATGACAACGCTGGAGGTGAGCAGGTTTTCATCATAATGCCAGTATTTGCATCTGTAAAAAGATTTAATTTTATTAGTTTTCACATTGTAATTTACAGAACTGCTTAACAACATCTTTGTGCAAACAAAATCTTTACTGACAGGTATCCTTCAGATTAAACAGAAACAGGATAGAAAAGGTAATACAGCTTAAGTGCATGACAGAGGTACAAGGCTCTCAGAGCAGCTTGTTTCCATTGAGAAAGCCCTTTTTATGTCCTGGAAGAAGTAGGATGCAGCCAGTGAATGAAGACCCTGGCCTCAACAGCTACGTGCTTCCTCCTGTACAGGTGGATGGCATTGCATGGATCTCCCTGAGAGACAACCCTACCACCATGCTGTCTGTGGGGCCAGCAGAAACGGGAAAAAAAAAAGAAAAAAAAGAAAGAAAAAGAAAAAAAAAAAGAGAGGGAAAGAAAAGCCCCAAACAGTGGCTGCCAGGATGAGAGTCCTCTTCAAGACATCAGATATCACTACTTAGGATGGACTGTGCATTTGGGTCACCTGCTGCATAACATGCACTAGAACAGCACTGTTTTCTTCTAACCATCTTTCAATCAGATTTATCCAGTAGAAGGACTGCCTATAAAATGTTTCTGTTGGCTTTATACAGTCCATATGCAGAATCTGCAGTTTTAGCAAAGTGACAAGCATTGTTGTGACAAGAAATAACTCATTCATTTCTGTCCTTTCACAATAAAATAGATTTAAACAGAGTAAACTATAAGTACAGCAGCAACATGTGACAAGCTCATGTCAGCGGCTCTGCATAAAGTGATCACAATATGAAAAACCTGTCAGAAAAGCATAGCTGCTCATGGGAAAAATTTAATCCCATGGCAGACAAGATGTGATTTTTTACTACTGCTTTATTATTCATGGCTCCACTCAGGTATAACTAGCATAGCTAAGAAATCCCAGCCTTACGAAACCCATTCCACCCTCCACTTCCCTAGGCAAAACAGTTACTTGTTTGACCGGATGTAAGAAAGTAACAATTTTGGCCAAATTTGTGAAACTGTACGCATCTTTTTGAACAGATACAATATCATACAAATTATACAAATAGACTGCCAAGGACAAGTTTTAAACCTGACTGAACTTCAATGGATTCCTTCCTTGAAAAGAAGGAGAAGGGGGGGAAGAAGACATTAGGAAGAAATTCTTCACCATGAGGGTAGTAACAAGGCAATAGGAATTAGGTTGCTCAGGGAGGTTGTGGAAGTCTCCTCCCTGGAGGTGTTCAAGGCCAGGTTGGATGAGGCTTTGTGCAGCCTGGTCTGCTGTGAGGTGTCCTTGCTCATAGCAGGGAGGTTGGAGGTTTAAGGTCCCTTCCAACCTTAACTGTTCTATAATTCTATGACAACACAAACATTTAAGCCATTGACAACTTATATAGCCATTTGCAGAGACAAGATGGATATGTGACCTAGTTGCATTAAGTCAGCTGTGTAAAAGAAAGCCTTTTTGTTGTGTGTTTAATTACAGATTATTAACAGCACTGGGCGGCTTTAAAATATATTCACCTAGATTAATTCTGGTGATACAGTTACGTTAAAACAGAGGAAAACGGGGTGTTGGACATTCAAAATTAGCGTGCCAGCTGAACACCATTCAAAAGCTCTATGAAAAAGGCAGCAGAAATGAATGGCACCTTTTGCCTCAAAGAAGACGGCAGCACCTGATGCAAGCTGTACTGTGCCACTAACCTGCACCTTCAGCAATTTAATAGGAAACTTTTTTGCTCTCCAATTAGAAAGACAGCTACAACATTGCACACTGCCTTTGCAACAGAAACAAAGCAAATGCTGCAAAAAACTACAATATTTTGTTTGCTTAGTTCTCCCACTTTCTGTAGTGTAGGTAATTCATATTTCGGAACAAAATGGAGAAGAGCCTAAGAATGCAAGAAGTAAGTAATTTAACATAGTTTTAAAAGGCCAAAACTATTAAAAAGCCTGAACTGAACAACACATCTGTGAGCAATTTATAAGCATTTTTTGATCTGTATTTAATACATTTTTAAAACATAAAACCAGAGGTCTAGACAGGCTTTTTGCTACATATCCAACTTAATCTCCTCAGATCTGTCAGCACATTTACTTTTTAAACTTGAAAAATCATGTGTTGCTAAATGTGCCATTTGCAAGCAATAAAAGCACTGCATTTACACCTCTAGTAAGATCATGCCTTTAGTTTTTTCCAGAGGCTTTATTTCGTTTGTTGGGACAGTCTACAATCTGACTCATCAAGCCCATAAACTCCAACAGACTACAGTAACTCCTATGCACAAACCCGCCTCTCATCCTGAATTGTGAATTACAGGTTTGAAACCTGGAAACTGTTTCAAATACATGCAATAAATGAGTATTTTAATCCCAGTGGCAATTTTTACCAAGAAATGCAAGTGTTGCTAAAGTATTGGAGCGACACAAATCAGGAGGCTCCGCTCTCATTTACTTCAGATCCACAGGGAAGGAAGCAGGGAAGAGCCTTTCCTCAGTGGAGCAGCACTGACATCCAGTGGTTGGCAAACCAAATACCAAGCAAACACAACCGGGTTTCCCTTGAGTTTTAAGCTGAATTTTACGACACTAGTTTCCCAGTAAAATTAAGGCACCAGAAAGGGAAAATAAAAAGCCTGAATTTCCAGACTCATGCTTCAGTTTTAAAAGATACGGTCAAGTAGATGTGGCCACATCCAGGAAAAAGCCGCAAGATCATGAAAACTGACATTAGCAGACTCAAAGTACAGACCCTGTGACAGTGAAGATTTAAATAATTTTGACCTTTAGCTTCACTCCTGGCTGCTGTCCTGCCCACATCTGGCAGCACAGTGACCTTTCAGGTGTAGCCTGCAGACCAGCTGTGCTGATGTGCTGTGACCCAAGCTAGCAAAAAAACACACTTAAAAAAAAATAATTAAATTTGAATTCTTATTGGATCAGTTGAGAGGAGAGCACATTCCAGCAAAAAGTCAGGAATGAGAGGGTAGCATCCTTAAGCTAGTCTTGCTTCACTCTTCCTAACCCCTGTAAAGAATTATTTTATGAGGCAAAAAGGAGCAGGTGTGCACAGTTCTGTGAAGGGCTGGCAACATCTTCCCCAGGCAGCAAGGAAGTAACACCTTCAGATCAGCCTATGGATAAGAATTTGCTGTCTCCAGATCAACACTGGTATTACTGAGCAAAACCACAGACTGACACGTCACTGGAGCAAGAAGAAACCTTTTGAAAGGCACAGTAGTAATCTAATGGAGAAACAGGTTGAGTAACATTTCTTCTGACTATTAAGCCTGCATGCTTCAGATGTGTGTTAGTCCTACTCCCTCTCTACCCCTGCAAGGGAATAGAACTATTGGAGACCACATGACACAGATACTTGGTCACAGTTGTTCACCACCCAGGGCAGAATAGCCCTTTCATGGGGGAACCTCCTGCAGAAGAAGCTGGACATCTGGGCTGGAGTGGTCCTTGGCCTGAGGAAACCTTTTGCTCTTAGAGCTTTGTGCTCTATGCATTGGTTTGCTCTTACTGATGTCCCCCTGGCCCCACAAACATGAATATGGGTACGTGCTCCAAGGATTAGATGATCCCTGAAGTTTTAGCAGCAATTGCAGTTGCAGATGTAGGCTCAAATTTCCTCAGGGTACAGGCTGCTTTTCCTGGCAGAGTAATCCAGCCATCAAGCAAAAATTCAAGAAGTAAACAAGGAGAGCACCTATTTAACTGGTGAGACACAATCAGATATTTTGAGAGGGCCATTTGAGATCTTAAGGCAACAAAAGTGCTTCTCATGACATCCTGAATTCCTGACTTCCCTAGCATACCAGCACATAAGCTCCAGAGAAAATCCAAGTGGCATCATGGTTGCAACCAACTCTCTATCCTGATACTATCTTCATCAGGTCAACTACCTAAGCACCTGTGCTTACCAAAGGTACATCAGTATCCTCTCTGGATTTTAAAGCACTGTACTTCTGTGTTCAGACCACAATGTAGCAGCACAGATTTCTTCAAGATAGCAGACAGCTGTCACTGCATTCCTTTAACAGCTCCAGCAGCCAAGTCCTAAGATTTTGGAGGCTGGCTGTAACAAGCTGAGGGCCCTGACTCAGCAGAAAGGCGAAGGTGTTAATTTAGCATTTATCCTGAAATTGTAGCTGACAGAAAAAGGAATATCGATTCTCCATTAATATCAAACTGCTCATACTTTTAAATTTAAAGTTTTATTTCATATTTAAAGTGGTATGAGATTCATAGTGACATCAATTATCACCTATTGATAATTGCTTTATAATGCATGCATTTTTCTCACTCTGAGAAGATCTAGCACTAGCAGAGCCCAAAAATAAGTCTGGAACTCTGTTTCTCATTCATAGCTTCCTCTTCTAGTAAGCCCTGTTCTTATCTTATAAGGAGGCAGTTGTTCGACAGACAGCACATTGTTTACATACTTTAATACTGAATCTAGGGCTGCTTGTTATTTTAAATCATCAATTTATTATGACTACTGAAGTAAAACTGCATCCACCCCCTAGGAAGACCGGTGAGAGTTTATTTCACAAAGCAGTCTTGACAGTTTGCTCATATATAGAGTTGATACCACCAAGGTCCTAGCTGGGACTGGCTGACTGATGCCTGAAAGAGGGATCATTGCCTAAATCTAGAGTAGACAGAAACAGACTACAGAACTGGGCATTTCTTCAAGATATGAATAAGCAGAACTAATGTTAGTACTGGATTTGTTGGCTATGAAGCCTTACAGGGTGTTTTATGCAACATCAATACATGACTATATGCAAAACCTAAGACAACTTGCAACACAGGGGTTCTGGAAGAGAAGCACACAGACAGGGCAAGGGCAGTTTGATCAACTGGGTTTTTTTTCCCCATTCAGCAGACAGCAGCAAAGCCTCTACTACACACTGCCAGACAGGTTAAACCTATGCTCAAACAGCACTTCCTATTTTTACCATAGCTACAAGCTTTGTCTGTTTCCATGCCTGAAGTA